GGAGATGCGCTTGGCTGCAGGTCAAGCAAATCCCACCACCATCGCTCACACCTGAACACCCACGAGCTTCCCCCAAAAGGGGCTCTGCATCTTCCACAACTACAAGCAGACCCCAGCTGTCGGCGCAGTACCGCTGACGACAGGCTTACCTGTCAGGAATTTCCCCTAGAGCAACGAGCCTACCGGCGTAACAACACACTAATCCACACAATGGTACAGCAATATGACCTTGTGCTAAAACAAAATTAAAGGTAGAGACAAGTGATTTTTGGAAATTTTAGAGTGGTGCTTCTAACCACGGAGCTTTATTTCTGTTATTTATTCACAATCTGAAAGCCCCATTTGTAACAGTGACCTTTTCTACCTGTGTAAGAAAGGGCCAGAAAATGAGAGACGGAATCTTGCAAACACAGTGACGCTGCACAGAGGCTGGCCTGTGGGATGACCGCTGCTCCTTGCACAGGCTGGAGCATGAATATTACAGCCAACCAACCCCACTGCGCACAGCATTTGCTTTCTAAAAAAGAAAATTTGAACCCAAATCCAAGATTTTATACAACAATAAGTGAGCTGTTTTGTCACCACCAGAGGTCTAAGATCCATAGGAATGAGAAAATCACAAGTGACAGAGCTAGAAATGAACAGGTGCACAGTCTTCATGCAACTGCAAGTAACAACACCTTTTGAAAAATATTCGCCAAAGGGAACTCAAGGTGACACTGTCCCCTTTGAGGTGCTCCTCAAGAGCCAAAGAGGTGACTGATAACCGGAGGCCTGGCTCTGGTTCATGCTAAAGCCTCTGTTCCACCAGCCTCCCTTAAGCTAAACACCCTTCAAAGCAGGTAAGTACCTGCAACCAGGGTGGAAGCCCCGATACGCCAGGTGTGCAAAGTGAGGGAAGAATCCATCCCAACCAGTGAGCGATGGCCCAGTTGTCAGTCCCTGGGTCATTTGTGTTACTCCCATTCCCTCCTCCCAAAAGGGTCGGCAGACAGCGAGTAGGAGTGGCCGTGGGTGCTGCAGCGGCTGCTACCCTTTGCGTACAGACCCCAGGGTGCACAGAGCTCCCAGGGGAAGCGATGCTGACTGGGATGCCTTCAGTTATCCTGGGGAATTACATGACCAACCATCTAATTCTGATTTGTGCCCAAGCCTCCTCATCTCCTGGGCAGTATAAAGGAGCCCAAATAATCCCTTCATTCCTCTAGCTGCTACCATGATGCAGGACAGATACACAGAAGCCCCATCAGAGAAAAAAACAAAACAAAACAAAAAACAAAACAAAACAAAAAAAAAAAGTATGTTCTTTAATATCTGAGTTTCCCATTTAGGTCCATCCTCAGAAAAAGCCCCAACCCCACACTGTATTTCTATGCTGACTTACCTCACACCTCGTACTCTTCGCCGGTACTGCCCCACTGTATCCATCGCTATGGAAAGAATGGATCCACAGGCAGGGCCAGGCTGGCCTTTCAGAGCTGCTGTTTTCTTTGTTTCTAGGCTGTGACTGGGGGTGGCTGAGGGTCAAGTCCTTCTCAAATCTTTAGTGCAAAAAGGAACTGGATCGGCGGCATGTCCACCGACTGCCCTGCCCCAGCACCGCATCTACTCGAGCGCCCTTCACACACCGCCTCTGGCTCACCAGCTGGGGACAGGAGGGAAAGGTACTTCCCCATTAACCCAGGAAATGAATGGAATGAGATCCTTGCATACGATTCCTGCAGTCAAGAAACACATTTTCTACCAAATAACTGGTACCACCAAGATTACACAACTCTTCTCTGTACAAAGGATTTCAGGGCTCAGCTTAAGGTACCTGAAACACACGGTAGCTCCTACTGCTGGTGCTCACTTGAATTTATTTCCATGGCTTGCTACCTGGGAGAGATGACCTGTCTGAAAGCGAGTTGAAAGTGCTACGTCTGAGTGAACGGCCATGTAAGAATCCCTCCTGGCTGTTTTGCAGAAAAAGAAAAACTTGAAAAGAGATGAAGAAGGAAACTTAAAAGTAGTTCGTTTCAGTCAATTATGTCGCAGCAAGTCAATCAGAGCCAGCATCCACATCTGTTTGAAATAACCCTCAGGTAGATAATAACATCTGAGACAAGTATCACTGAAAGAGATTAGGAAAAAATAATCTGTTGTTCTCTTTCATTTACCGTGTTGCTTTGTGCCTTGGACAATGGCTGATACACACTCAGGTACCTGCTCTTGAAAAATTACTCACTGCTCTTCTGTCACACAGGCTACGATAAGGGAAAGGAAAACATTTACGAATGGGAGACTGCATTATAAAATCCATGAAAACTGACAGTGCTGTGTACAGATACCATTGTACAGCTAGAGAATTAATTACAGCCAGCCAAGGTATTTCTGACAATGCTCTCACCTACTGCTTTGTGTTGACAAAATGCACTTTGTATGTGGAAATATCTGCTTTTCCCCAAAACCTGTGATTATCCATTAAAAAGCCTGACCCTCATCTTTCACATCATCATCAGCTGAATGTTTTCCACCATTTGGCCACATGCATTTGCCCCACTTCTCAGCAAGCCAGCAGCTATACCCAGTAAGGCAGATAGGCGAGTTAGGGCCAGACAGGTATTTCTGCTGATCAGATTAAAGCAGCCAAACCGTTCTGCTCGCAGTTTTGCATTTTTCTTTAATCATGGTTAAACTTTCTTTGGCAAAGAGACACAAAAATCAGCCAAAGGAGCTCAGAGGCACTACCCTTGCAGAGGAAACGCGCACATTTACGGGCTGTGTTCGCAAGACCACTGTTCTACTGGGGAGAAGGAACCGGTTAACCGGATGCTTGGCACCACGCAGGCCCAAGCACTGCACAAGGTGAACTATGGGCACGGCAGGAAACGTAAGGGCCATTTCTGGCAATTGCAACACAAACCAGAAGCTCAGGAAAAAAAAGAAAAAAAGCAGCTCATTTGTGAAACTGCAGTCTGTTGAGTTTTCCATCAACATAAATTACTGAGTTCATTAGCCTTCTGCTTGCTCTCTGCTACTCAAGACACAGCCAGCACAGCTCAGCCGTAAGGTAGCCTCTGTCCTGGCCCTCGTGCTGCCTCACTTCAAGAAACCTCTGCATTTCCACACTTCTTAATATACTACATCACACCCACAGTCAACAAGTAAAATGAATAAATAATTCAAGTGTTGTAAGAAATAAAATGTTAAATTGTTAAAAGCCACGATTACTTACACGTTGACTATTTGCCGGGCTCGTTTCTAACACCGGTACTGCTTAATGACCAGAGAAACAAACAGGCCTCACCTTCCGTTAGCAGCTACATCCCAGCACCATCTCGCCCGGGTTTGGAGGTGTCCGTGCTTCTGCCCCAGCAGCCTTTGAGTGCACCTCTTGGAATTCAAACACCTAAGCTGTAGCAGGATTTTATTTTATTTTTTTCTCCACTAGGAGTTACTCTGTTACAAGACTTGTTCAGGGACAAATCAACCCTTCTCCACCTCCCTGCCTAACCCAAGCTGGTTCTGTGCTGAAACAGGACATCCACAGTCCTGTGCCAGTCTTTGTCCCCAGGCAGCTCAGCAGTTGCGTCCCAACCTGGCAGACCTTTCCTTGTGCATCAGACAACACTGTGTGCACTACTGCTGGAGCAGGGTCTGCAGGACCTCATGCCACCCCTCTGCATGCCCCTGCCCAACGCCTGCCTCTGTCTCCCGCCAAGACCATGAGGAGTTACGGGGGGGCACCAGGAAGAGGTGAGGCCTCTCAGACGCCCAATGTGTTTGTTACCAGCTACCCCACTTCAGTGGGCTGCTGGTCATTTTGTCCTGCCACCACAAACCACCTTGCTACCACTTGACCCAACATCTCCTTGCAATAGTTTCAAAGATCTGTATTTGTTCCTGCTGTTTGCAGACTCTTCAGCTATGTAATCGGTTTACAGGTTTAATATCCTCCCCACAGCTGGTTCAAGCTGGCCTGAACATGCCTGATGCAGAAACAGGCTGTTGGCTGAATCAGCCTTGACCTGGTGATTATCCACAAATTGGTGCTCATCTACAAGCATGATAACCACCCAGGTTTGAAATCTCTTCATACCTTTGCCAAGCTGACCCTCAGCAACCAAGATCTATGTAACTATCGCTTGTTTCACACCCCTTCCTCTGCTTCCCTACAATTAAAGGTGGCAATCCGTCCAGATGGCAGGACTCTGGAGGGGCTTGATGCCATTTTGGACCACTGGTTGTTGCTGGTTTCACTGCCAGGTTAGGTCACCCCAAAGATTTCGACTATAACAGTACTGAAGGGCATAAACTGAATTACTGTTGTACCACCTAAGATGGCCACCCATCAGATATTGTTTCTTCCCCTTTAAAAGCCTTGATGGATAGAGACACAGGCAGATCTTCAAAGGTACTTAAGATTTGTGGTGGGAACTAGGTACGCAAATGCTCTTACACACACGGGTCTTGGCACATCAGGAGCAAGCCATTAGTGTCCAGGCCCTTACGCCTCCCTTCCCAGATCCATCTGCCTCAGGTTGCTAAAAATGTCCATAACTCTGGCTGAAAGACAATTCCAAAGAGAAGCAGGCTGGGTGGTGGGGGTGTCTACCTAAAAACTGAGGTTGATGAAAGCTGAACTAAGTCCAGGGAGACTGACTCATACTTATTTACATTTTTCACTGAAAGTTCTGCAAGTCATGCACGTTTTGACTTCTCAAACCTCATATGCACCGTCTTCTGTGCCAGAGTAATAATCCTTTTAGAAAAAAATATTCTGTACGATGCTGCACACGAGAGCAAGGCATTTGTCTCCTCCGATCCCTTTCAGGGCTTGCTCTGCTGTCGTTCATGTGGCAGCAGTACAAGCTGGTCACTCTGTCACTGTATTCTCTGAAGCAGTCAATGCAACGGCCTCGCAGAACTGGTAGACATTGTTCCAAAGACTTGATTTGCTTCATTTTGGCATTTCCACAGTCATCCTTTACATACAATTCATTTAATTTAAAATTATTATTTTGTATTTTGCTGGTCACTTCCATATTGCTTCATTCAAAATCCAGAAAACAGTTCAAATGAAATCAGAGCTTAAGTGCAAACTAACTTTCCAGTGAACTGCTATGTGCGTTTTCTCCAGTCCAGTGTCTGTCTTCCAGTTTAAAGGACCCTTCCCACCACCACCCCACAGAACACCAGTGGACTTCATAACCCATCTCAAACTCTCCAGTTCTCCATCTTGTCCTCAGTGTTGCCTGACAGCATCCCCAACTCCCTTCACGATCATGAAGAAGAAAGAGGGAAGAATTTGTTTGGGTTTTTTTATGTGTCTAGTCAGCAGGTATAAAACAGGAAAGCAAAGCTTTTTGCATACAAATCTTGGTTTATGGGCCTGTCTTTTAGCTTCAAAAAGAACATGTTGGAAGTGTGGTTTTGTTACTCTCTTCTGAACAGGTTTTTGTGTTTAAAGTGTTTGTCATGTTGGCACATATACAAAAATGGTCATGTCGTTTACCAGTTCTGAGCTGGAGTCTCTGTGGTTAGGAATTGGCACAAAATCATGGTGTGGCTCAGAAGAAGGGTTTAGCCATACATTAGAGTCACATCATAATTTCTTGGAGAGCCATGAGGAGGATCTGAACGATAATGAAATCTAAGTTAGCCATTTTCCATTGCTGGGATAGAAAATGTTAGAGAAAGAAATTGGATTCTCAATCTCAATTACTATGCTATCACACATGATATAAAAATTGTCCATTTTCCCCCCTAATGGAAACTGCACTGAGATTTCCAGGAATGCTGTGCAGACTCTCATCAATTCCTGCGGAAAGAAACAGCCTCTCTGTGGCTCTCCCTACAGTGTGAGGGTTGAATCACTAAGAACTAGCTCGACAGCAGGCAACACTGCCACTGGCCTTTACTGGTACTGTCTGGCTTCTCCGACCGTCCGACCCTCCAGATCTGCGGAAAGTGAGAAACGCCACGTTGTACACGCCTTCTTTCAGTCTCTTTCCTTCCTTCCAGGTTCCCAACCCAATCTGCAAATGACTCCAAGCCATCCTTTCACTTGGAAATATCAAAAATGAGTGAACTGGCAAGAAGAGGAAGCTCATGGGAGAAAGAAAGGGAGGGAGGGAAGGAGGGGAGAGAGAGAAAAGGAGAGTGAGAGAGAAAGAGTGAGGCAGCTAGAAGGGGTTGCCTTTCCACTTCTGTAAGACTGCGGCCACTACACCACTGTATTTCGGTGTCTGTAGGGCGGCGGGGGCAGCACAGTGCCAGGTTTCAGGGAGAACTCAGAGAGGTATTCAGGATTCTCTGCCACGATGGGCCGGATCCGTCCGTTCTGTTTGTAAAAGTATTTTGTGCTGTACTCTTGCAGGTAGTCCGGGTGCTGGAGGGTGCTTCGTGGGGGCAGGCTGTGATTCCAGTAGTCTGGGTTGTCAAAGGCCTTCTTGGCTTTCTCCGGCAAATTGTTCTTCAGGTACTCGGCATTTTCCAAGGTGTTTGCAAAAGTGTTGAGGTACAATGGCTCATTCACATACTCATCCTCTGCTTTGGGCTGCCCGTTCACAGCGTTGTGATACTCTGGGTTGTCCACAGCTTGGAGATCTCCATTCTTTCGTCGAGAGACAAATGGGTTCTCTTCCACTGGGTTTAGGTAATCTAAGGAAACATTAAGAATAAATCAGCAAAGAGATTCATCCGTGTAGCAAGCATCATGTGATCCACCTGTGTAGCAAGCATCATGTGTGTATTACTACGAGGCTGTACCAGAAAGGAGCACTTGGACTTGTGCATCCTTCCGCTCCAGCCACTCATTCCAGCAAAGCTGGAAACTGAACTACAGCTCTCACTGAGCCATAGCCATGTCCTTCATTTGATCCTGGCCTTCCTCTCAGAGTACCATCGGCAGAGCCAAACACATCGAGTGACTTCTGCCTCTGCTGCCGACTCTTTGTGCAACCTTGGACGTATCAGTCAAACACTCTGCTCTGCAGTCTTTCCATCAGAAAGCTCTATAGAGATCTTAGTTAAGCCTCTCTGCACAAACACCATCCCCAAGGGCTAACTTCTAAGACAGCTTCATTTCTAACAGAACAATTTGTCAGATTAAAAGCCTTCCATCCCTGAAGGACAAAGGGCCTCGAAGCACTATGAAAAAAAGTATTTAAATGATCCCTGGAAAGGGTACAAGGGAGCCTTACATCAGCTCCAAAACAGGACTTGGAGCAGGTTACACTTGCTTCAAATTACTTTCTGTGGATTAACACCACAAAAAATTGTAGCTGAATGGCAGAAAGGTTTTAAGGTGTATGGAGCTTGTGTGGAAAGCCAGACAGGGAGTGGGGAGGGAAGAGAAGGATGCCAACACAAGTTCTCCATTTCCAGTGGCATGGCTGTGGTCATGGGCTCTGGAGACACCTCCATACGGGCCCCTGCTTGTTACAAGAGGGTGGCTTCAGCTCTGTTTTTATCTAGGACAGGGCCAAAAAACTATTAAATGCAAAAGTTCAAGACTTAGCAAGTACCTCTGAACACATAGCTGAAACTTCACTGAATACGAGGTGAATGGGCACATACCCCCATACCAAGAGCACAGTGGGAACTTTTTTTTTTTTTTTTTTTTAAGCAATGACAGCCAAGCTGTGCTTTGATTTGAATCCCCCAGCTGACAGAGAGCATGCTGCACTGTGGCCACACTGTCTACGCCCAGTGAGAACAAAAGAGACGCTTTCTCCTGAGCTGCTCCTACCACATCCCTGTGGGCTCAGGTAGCGCCTGAGAAGTGTTAAGCTCCTGCAGAACTTGGAGGATGCCCAGGGCAAACCTGTATGTGAAGACAAGCCTGGGCTCACACTGAAGCAATGCACAGCATGAAATCTCTCATTAGAAGGGTGGCTGCTGAAGTGTAGGGCCACGAGCGCACCCCCCATGAGCACACCCCCACAATTGCTACTGCTGTGGGTCAAGCCTCAGGACTCCCTCCATTTCCACCATGTAACACAAAGGGTAAGTGGTTTCCAAATTCTGAAGCAAACTCAGTAAATACTTGGCATTTACATTTGCATTAATTAATTTCTTTAAAGCTAATGTAAAGGTTTGAAAGCAAATTACTAATGACACATCCCCTTACATGTAAATGACTGCTGTCACTATCTAAAATGGAAGAAAGAAATGATAGTAAACTGGGAAGCATAGGACTCTGAGCTGTCACAGATTGAGGCAAACTTCACCTTGCATGATGGTCTCTCTGAAGCACATCTTGTTCTTTCAATTCTGAACTTCTCCTGGGTATAAAATGCCAACTCCGTGTATTGGCTCTGTGATATGTTCAACATGACATTTACCAAGCACAATGCCGTGAAGACAAAGAAGATCAATAAACAAAACGAAGTGGAGACTACGGCTGGCCAAAGATAGATCCTTTTCTTGGAAATAACTGAATTTTTTGTTTGGATAAGAAGGGGGTTTGGCTTTTTTCATTCCTCTGTCTTGCTGTTTCCCAGAAAGAAAAGTTAAAGGGGAATTACCAAACTTGACATTTTGCCACATTTGAGCTTTTAAAGTAGTAAATTAAGCAAATTAAAATGAATCCCCATGCAAAGAAACATCAACCAAGTCAGAATGTTTCAACCTTGCTGGGTTACTCAATAAAGCCATTTTTGGTGAAAAGCTGCTGATGTAGAAAAAGAGAGAATGCAGTCATACTAGAACATGAGCTTCTCTGGAAAGACAATTTTTTACCTGTTTTAGGTTTGTCTCGCATCGGCGTCATGTACCCGTCCTCATCCAGCTCTCCCCTGACAACCCGCTCAGGTATGAAGACTGTGGGATCGGCGCTGTACCTCTGGGTGCTGCTGTCCTCTTTTGCCAGGGTTGACACTTGTTTTCGTAGTGTGCCATTGCAGCAAGTATCTTCAAAGATCTCTGCTGTGGCCCCTTGAGCAACTGGGGCTTCTGGTATGATGCAGCCAGGAGCTCTGTACGGCATTGGCACTTCTGCAGCATAGCCACCGTCTCTATACACAAACTGGTTCTGTTGAAAAAGAAATGCATGCATGAGAAAGGAGGCTCCAAAGGGAGAGAAGGTTCAACAGCAAGTCAGCTCTGTGGCTCCTGCACCTTCCTGCCACGTTCACTCAGAGATGTGTTTCACCAGGCAGGAGAAGCCTCGCCCATCCTGCAAACTGCTGTGCTTCCAGCGCTGCGGGATCAGCAGTAGCACAGGCTCTGTTGTGTACTGGCAAAGCATCCACGCATGAGAAAGGAGGCTCCAAAGGGAGAGAAGGTTCAACAGCAAGTCAGCTCTGTGGCTCCTGCACCTTCCTGCCACGTTCACTCAGAGATGTGTTTCACCAGGCAGGAGAAGCCTCGCCCATCCTGCAAACTGCTGTGCTTCCAGCGCTGCGGGATCAGCAGTAGCACAGGCTCTGTTGTGTACTGGCAAAGCATCCACATCCCCAGTAGTGCTGAGCTGGCTTCCCCTCCCAGGGAGGCCCTGCAAACTGCTGTGCTTCCAGCGCTGCGGGATCAGCAGTAGCACAGGCTCTGTTGTGTACTGGCAAAGCATCCACATCCCCAGTAGTGCTGAGCTGGCTTCCCCTCCCAGGGAGGCACCATCGCTGCAGCGAGGGGAGCAGGGAAGCAAGCTGGGCTGGAAATGGGGCTAGAAACGGGGCATGAAAACTTGTCTCCTACCTAGACATGTAGAGGTTGGATATACACTGCTGCAAGAGGCCAACGGAGTATCTCCTCCTCTATTACTCTGGCAATCCTCCCTAACTTCTGAACAGAACCCTCAAACCTCATGTCAGAGAAATCTCCTTCTGCAAAGGGGTGGAGGACATTATGATCTCTGAACTCTGTTTATTCCTGGGGTGCCTACTTTCAGGGTGTCCCATCACATAGTCACCCAAACGCTATGTAATTCCATCAGGTAGTGCATTTCCGGCTGGTGAATGGTGTTCGGATTGGTACCTCAACTCAATGGTTCAACTCAACCTACCATTTTCATTCTTAGCAAGGGCGTGCAAGGAAATTTCATCATGACCTACAAATAGGAAGGAAAAACGTACAGATGCATCTAAGCTTGCTACCTACATGCTTTTTCAAAAAAAGTTGGCAATTGGTAGAATTTCGAGTGTGGATCCACAGAGCTTGCACGTGAGTCCAGTCTGAGTGTAGAGATTCTGATTATTTGATTCATTCACTATTGATTTTTGGGCCATTTATGTAGGAAAAAGGGGTTTGAAACAGAAAATACATAGTGAAGGAAGGAGGAAAACCTAAAGGATGAAGGTTGAATGTGAAATACTTACTCCTGACATAGGGGTGTAGGCAGGAGGAGGGCTGTGTCCAATTTCACTCTAATAGGAAAGAAAAATGGAATGATGGATACGGAATAAGAGGTCACATGAATGAAACAAGTCACATGAGCTGCATGAGCTAATGAGGAGAAACATGCACATCAGTTAGATTTCCTAACTGAATCCAAAATTCAAAGAATTCAATCATGGCAAATGTCTTGCCAACATCAACAAGCTGTGTGCTCACCAGTCTTAGGGAGGGCTACTGAGTTCCTCTAGCTGGCTAAGAGCAAGTGCCATGTACACCTGCTGACAGCTGTATATCCTGCAAATGTCTCCCATCTAATTTATGGAAAGGCAGATTGTACAGAAAGAAGGACAGACAGTGCACTCAACTTCAGAGGAAATACAGGGCAGGAGAAGTGCAGAAAGTGTCTAGCTCCAAGCCAAGGCTTCCCTTCCCAGGGAAAAAGCGGGAGAGGGATAACCAGGAGGGCAGGAGGGTGCAGGACTGGCATTAGACTGTCACAGCTTAATCATCACAGGAAAAAAAGCCCCTAAGCTTCGGCAAACCCAAACAGCACAGCAGCTCATGGGTTTTTTAGACTCCAGTGTGCCACACTCCTGCTCTCAACATATATCACCCTCTCCAACATTACCTCTGTATCACAGGCTAAGGGGTTCTACTGAGAAGTCTGGAGGTTGTCCACCAAAGCATCCATGCAGTGATCTTTGTTTTGATACTGCTTTCTGGAACTGTCTTACACTGCCCTGTGGACCTTGAACTGCTGTAACATCACCAGCACAGCAGCTGCATTTATACCTATTACTATCACTCAAAACCAGACTGTTTTCCATTGATGTAATGCTGATTTTTGGAGGACAAGAAAAATAAAACAAAGAACTCTTTATTTTTCATGTGTTTTTCTACTGCCAAAATGTTATTTTTTTGAGACTACAAAATCAGTTCTTCATAATTACTTTGTTTCCCATTTTGTTTCAAAAACTTTATTGTAATTCCCTTACCTCCTAGTTGGGGGAGAGAAAAAGCCAGGGTTTGAAAAACAAGGTCTAAACGGGAGATAAATTAGAAGGAAAACCCACTGCCTTAGGAAAGAGGTATAACCACCCTGAGAACACTCCCCTTTAGAAGATATTTCATTCATCAAAATCTGTTTCAAAAAGATATCCACACCGAGAAACATCCCGAAATTGAAAGAAAAGACTGCATGCATCCTCACATAGTAAGGATCGGACAATCAATCTTTCCCTTATAAACTTCTTGCCAAAACATCAGGGTGAAGATGATGGTCACTGACAAACGTCTTACTTTACAAAGGAACGGTCTGGGTTTAAATACCTACATCAGGAAAAACCTTAAAAATAAACAAACTTTTTAAAATGCATGCTGTCTGTCTGGAGTCCCTTTCCTGGTGACCAGTAATATGTTCATTTCCTTCTATTTGAAATATCCTGCAGCCATTTGCTTACTCAGACGTAGCACCTTGTGTTTGAGGTGTAAACATGGTGATGAGTCATAGTTATACACTCTTCTCCATCACCATGAATTAGTCCTTATTTAGACAATTTATGACCTAAAAAAGGCTCCAGGTTGCAAATCACAAAGTGCAGGAAAACCTCTGTTAGCTGAACTGTCTATGTGCACCGTGTGTTAGCAAGGCTTGAGGGATTCTCTCTGCAGTCATTCTTCCCAGGGAAACTGGGTGCTAGAAGGAAACATGGGAGAGGTCTATCCCATGGTCTAAGTGCCAGTGCCCTGGGGAGGAGAAGGAAATGGCAGCCCAAGCACACAGCAGAGGAGTTGGGAGGCTTGCAAGAGAAGTGGTGCTGGAGGAGCTGGCAGCAGGGATGGTCAGGAGCCAGGGAACAGTGGCTTGCAAAGACACAGAGGGCAATGGCAAGTGAGAGAGGCTGTGGGGTGCAGGGAGGAAGAAAGGGCTGGCATGTGACAGGAGGCTGAGCAGGAAGGGAGAGATAGCAATAAGACCTAAACGTGACAGGGAGAAATGGGAGGCACAAGGAGAAAAGATAGTCTACGAGGACAAAAGATAGTCTTCGTCTCTAGACAAAAGATAGCTGTGACCGATTTCACTAAGCTTTCGTCAAATTGCTCGTCACGTTTGAAAAGCACAGCTCGAACTTAAGGCCCAGGCCTGGAAGCAGCTTTGGCCTCTCTGACCCAGCTATGCCTGCCGACAGCTGGAGCACCAAGGATGATGCTAACTGCAAAGAAAGTGCCGTCTAAGGTAGCACAGAAAGAGATGGCGGAGCGCTTGGCTGGATCAGCCTGGAAGCTTCAGTGCTGCTCCATCTGCGCGTGGTCTTTTTCTCTTATTTAGGACAAGTGTACTCATACCCAGAAAAACAACAGCCAAGGAAAGGTTCACAAGAAGGGAAGGAAGAACCAAAGCCAGCAGTTGCCTGTCTGAGATGATCACAGTAGAAAGAGATCATAACAGATTCAACAGAGGTTAGGGAACAGACATCAATACACGCCAGGATACAGACTGCGCAGAAAGCCTGTAACTTGTCAGTCTTCTGCAAAAGGCTTGTTTGGGACAATTGGGAAGGTCCCTTTAAACAGGTAACCCTTTGGAAACTGGTGATGCTCTGATTCTGAAGGTCAAATCCCCTCTGACCCCCCTTCACCTTTCTTTGGTACCACAGATTTACTGTCAACTTGTAATACCACATGGGCAAGGACAGGTTATAACCCAGAAATGTGCTAGACCAACAGATAAAAACCATCCCCTTGAGCCTGCCAAATGCTACTTTGAAGTCTTAGTGATGGCTCTAGGATGTTGCACTGCAGCAGACTTAATCTGCTTTCTCCCTGCCCTCCAGTCTCGTATTTACTTGAATTCAGGGAAGCTTTCTGGCTGCTCCAAAAAGATGGAGAAGGAAAGATTGAAGACAGGTAAGTAGTAAGCTATGGTTCATGGAAGGTGGTGAGGATTTAGGCAAACTGATGATTACAGATTGGATCCAGAAAAGAAACACACAGTGGTTGATTGCAAAGTCAACGCAATTAACAGTGAGAAATCCAAAGCTCTGCAGGGAATCCTCTGCCTCCTTGTAAAGCTCCCTTCACCCCCACCTGCAGGCTGCGAGACTCCCAAGAGGGGGTTTGTTTCTTCTGGTTTCCAAAGTGGCTACAGGCCTCCAGACTGCACAAGAGTGACAGGGGCTGTAGCAATGCTGTGTCAGTGTTACATGCAGAGGGTTGGAGTTCGCTGCTGCCTGCTTTTCACAGACACTAAACTAGTGACTGTAACCACTCCTTTTCTGTTCGGGGCTACACCATGCTATATCACACACTTTTAATTTACAACTTTATATTTTCACACAGGCACTCCTGTGAATTTCAGCTCGTGATTCATTGATTCTGGATGACTAACAGGAGAGCTATCTCAAACTACTCTTAGTTCCCAGCCCACAGTGATCTCTTAAGGGTAGCTTGGAAAAGCGAGATCTTTCGATCTTCTTGGCCGTGACTCTAACATTTAAACACGTACTATGCAACTGTAACACCACAATAACCGGCCCTCTTGGAATAGCCCTGTCCCAATACATCAAGAGAGAATGAACTTTGCATTAACGCATTTATTGCAATTTCTGCTGACGAGACCCTTACCAGTCAGCGACCTGCCAACTCACATCACAGTGATGGTATTTTCTTCATGCCTCCCCTTTAGCTCTGTACTAACCA